AGTTGAGATGTATATATAGACGTATATATTATAGTCTAAGAGATCTAGTTTTGATTAGTTAGTAAAGCTTTTTAAATAGTTTAATATTCTCACACTTTCTCCATATTTCTGTTGAGTTAATCATGTTGAAGTTGATGCTAAGGGCTTAAAAGGGTTTAAGGTGGAATTTGACTCTAGTTTCTAGTGAGTGGATTTTACATATTTGAGAAAATATTTTCTATTGTGGTTTCTTATTGATATGAGAATATCTTGTGTATAATATTACGCAATTTAGTGAGAACATATAATAGTTATCATGTGAAGTAGTTGTAGGCGTATAACTTGCAACACTATGAAGCGATGGTTTGAGTTAATGGATGTGATCTTCAGTTGCTTTGACAATAATTTTATTTATCTTGAGTGATATTTTTATTAATCATTTATATGAAATTATTGTTTGAACAAATCTTAGATTTTAATCTTTACTAATTGTAACATTGTTGTAGTTATGCACTTTTTTATTCATTATTTAGACTTGACCTTAAAAATATTTGTTCAAAGCATAAAATGTTTAGCTTTTCTTATTGCTAGTTGCTTCTGGTATGCCATGTTCTAAGTAATATCTTTGATCTTATTGTCTTTTTTTTTTGTTTTTTTTCCTTAATATACTGTGATTCCTAACCTCCCATGTTTTTTTTTTGTAAATATGACAATTAATAAATCTCTTATTGTAGATAAATATCACTATCATACATGCAATTTTTATTCTACCAATAAATAAAATACATGCAAAACATAGTTGATAAATTAATCTGTAACGATAAGTGCCTATGTTTATATTATGTAGCATTTTAGATATGAAATTTTTAATTTAGATTAGTGCATTGATTAGAATATGATTTTGCATCCAATATGATAAATAACAATTCTCTAAATATTGAACATCATTCTAAAGTTTATTTTTACATAATTATTTTGCCCACATCACTCTTATTGTGACGTACTCAGAATGATATACTCAGAATATTCTTTATAAAATGTAATCTTCAAGTATAACTTAGGTTATAAGAGTCATCTATGCCATAATCTTGTGCATCTAATTTTTTCTAAATGAGTTGGGGGATTCTTGCATTGATATTTCTCAACCTTAGTAGATTGATCACAAGAACCCTCCAACTCTTTTAACTGGATTGTTCCTCTTTACATCAACTAGACTTACACTTTGAAGTTTTTACATTCTTTTATTAAAATTTATGTTTAGTCATTTACATCAAGTCTCTTAAGGTGATATTTAAAATTTTTCTATGTAAAGAATCTCAGGGAGATCACCCTGAAATAGAATATATTTGTTGTTCTGTTTTCAATTTTTATTCCAAAATTATTTTAGATTAAGAAACAAATGACAAATTTAGAAATACTTTGTTTGTCAACTTTATAATTAATTGAATTAATACAACAATCCAAAATCTATGTCATTTACCTGTATCTAATCCGTAATCAATCATCATAAAATCATAATCACAATTATTCATCCAACTCAATTCATTAACTTTTAATAGGTGTTGTCTCAGTTGAATTTAAATGTTTTCATGTTAAAGAAAATTAATATATACTATATAATATTTTAATTTAATAGAAAATTATTGTTAGTAATAATGATCCATCGACCTTGTATCATTGATAATTTTTTGGACAAGTATAGCTTCAATTGTTATATACTTGTTAATGACATAAACAATAAAACCAAGATGATTAAGTGAGTCAAGTTAAGTCAAAGGGTTGAATCATATTCTAGATAAAAATTTATTTTCATCTATCACATCAGTATCATAAGGTCAGTGACATGGTGTTGATTTAATAAATTTTTTTTTTCAGAAAATTTTAAAAGTAGAAATATCAGTTTAGAAAAAGAAAATATGAAAAATTAAACAGAAAAGTGAAAATAACATAGAAGTGTATTACTTATTTAGCTTATCATGATGACACAAACCGTAAATGACAAATTCCTTGTTTCATTTGTTTATCTACGACTATTTTAATTTCTCTTCTATGGAATATTTGAAAAAGCATGAAAGGGGATGCTTAAGATCTCTCTCTTTCTCATTTTGACTTCATAAGTTTGCCAATTTGTCGTTATTTGACTTCTGTACGCGAAGACAGGGGAAACCCTTAGCTTGGCCAACTACCCCCCTTTACTGCTGGTCTAATCTTTGCAGCACTCATTAATTCTCTCCCCCTTGTTTGGTGACTGAGAAACCATGGGAAATGAAATTCTGAAAGTAATGAGTTCTCTTTCCTGATACCCAGAATCAAAATTTTCTGGGTACGTATCTGGGTCCTTGAATCGGGTACTAGGATTCATATTTCATTTCTCATTGTTTAACTTACGTGCTCTGGATTGTATAATATGCAAATATACTATTTTCTGTCCGTGTTTTACTTTTTCCTGGTACTAATCATTGTTGCCAAATCGTTTCTTGAAGTATTTGCTTGGTTTTTTTTTTTTTCCCCATATTTTCTCCTCTTATAAACCAAAGCTTAAATAGTGGACTGCTCTGTCATTTGGGTTCGATGACATTTTAAGCCTAAATTGGCCTTTGCTTTATTTTTGGGCATTTGTATACCGTGATATACTCATCAGTTATGGATTTCCCCCAAATTTTCCAGGTCCTGTGAAGTAGTTAGCGATGGAACCCAAGTGGGTATCTCTCAAATGTTTTCTGCTCTTGTTTGCTATTTTTTCTCCCTGGCTCGCAGCTTCAGAGACTGTAAGATACCAGTTTATTTTAGAATTTGGTTTTGCAAGTTTGTGCATGCTTTAGAAGAATTTATGTGTATTACTTTGTGAAACTTCTTATTTTGAAACCTGTGATTGTTTCTTCAGATCTATAACCGGTCAAGTGTGAATGCTAGTGCTGCCAGCACGGGAGCTCACGAAGGTGAGAATACATGTTAATATTTCCTGTTAGTCAAAGTAGAGATAGTCAACATTGCATGTTTAGATTCCTGCTTTTATTTGCTTGTTCACTTCTGGAAGATAATGAATCATATTGTAAAATGCTATCCTTCTATCAAGATGAAGAGTTTTGTCTTGTGGGAAATATCATGTTTGTACTATTATTTCTTGTTGCTAAATTTATTTAATAAATAATTTATTCATGAAATTAGCTATGAATTTTGGATGTCCTTTGTTATTTTATAAGATCTCATGATGTAATGCTGTCAAAATTGGTATGAACATTTAACTTGCTTGGAATGTCATATAAAGATGAAGTTACCATACTAAAAGTTTAAATGCCTGGTCTAAGCTATTGGCGCCCATTTAATTTTTCCCTTCACTTCCTATGTGGTTATAAAATGTCATGAACTAATAATATGATGCGTGACATGAAACATGAAAGATGGAGTGTCGATAGGAATTCTGATTTGAAAATTGTGATATAAAGAATATGTACTGAAATGCTAGCCTTCTTAGTAGGGTGTATTTGTTGAACTGAGTGGGACCTTTTATTCTTTAAGATTTTATAACACTAGTGAAGTAAGCAACAAAGCGTTTCTTCCTTTTTTGAATATAAAAAAAAAAAGTATCCGGAGGAAACTCTGGAAACTAGGTTCCTTAACTGAAACCCCCAAAAGTTAGTTCGTCTTTATTTATGAGTTTTTCCACAATACTAAATGCCCAACAAATGGAGCCACTTATCTTTTAGATGAAAAGTCCCTCTTAGCCGATTCTGCTCTGCACTTCTTGCCGCTAATCTGGGCTTAATTTCAGAACAGAAGTGGTTTTCTATAAGAGAATGAGAAGCTTTCAACAGCTCCTCATGTTCCGTTATGCGGACTTGATATCTACACTCCCTTGGGAGTTGAGTCTCCACATCAACATTCGCACTGCATTAGCACTGGCAGAAGAGATAAATTGGCCTTAATGAAAAGAGGGACAAATTGTAACGAGTAATGTTTCACCTGCAGCTGGCCAGTGGCTGCAGTTATCTTGCCACTTGTCTTTTTCCTCTTTTGCCTGTCTCCTTTCTCTTTCACCCATAGAGCTTGCTCTCTTTCTCGATTTCTTAATTTCCTTTTCAGCACAGATGGCATTTAAGTTGTACGCTTCTGTATGCCTCTCCTTATTCTTCATTTCCTTTTTGCCTTTCCAGTCATCTCACTCTTTTCATGCTGCCATCACTGCTACAACAGATGCCACCACTTCTTTCCTAAAATATCTGCTCCTAGTATCCATCCATGTTTTCTTTTAGAAGAAAAAGGGAAGTAACATAAGTTTTATACTTTAAAAACTTGAGCATCAAACTTAATAGGTTTGAATTGTTGTTGACATGAACAGAGTATTCAGTTTGATCAATAAGATACGGAAGACTTTTATTTGGAAAGCAAAAATTACTATTTATCTCAGATTGGTCCTCAGAATTTTTTTTAGAATTATTAAGGGCAGTTGTCTTATTTATCAAAGAAAAGCATAGTACGTCATAAAGAATTAGCTAGTCAGTTGTATTTTGGGAATAAAAAAATACTTTCTTCAAAATAATTGATCTTGGAGGTTAGCTAGCTTCAATCCGATTATTTCGTTACTGCCTTGATTGGCTATGGCGTTGGTTGAAGCTCGACTCGTACTTTACAATAGAATCTTGTAAGATATACTGTCAAATATAATTACTCATTTAATAAAAATAAATTTGCACTTATCGGAAACGTCATGTTATTATCATATGCTTTTAGCCATGGGAGGTTTTCTAAGTGATATTTATTTCGCTATAGATCTTCAAAGACAGAACACATGTTACCAAATCTCTTCCACTTTTTTGCAGGCAGACTACCTTTGTTTGCTTACCCGGCCTCCAACAGCCAAAAATAATATATTCTCTTTATTTATTAGATGAATCTGTGCTCAAAATCTATACTGCTTGGACATGTGCCCCAGTCTTGATATACTTAATCATATTACTGCTATAACCAGTGGTCAACTGTTACGCGCACAAACTCTAACCCATTTACCCGTCAGTTGTATCAAAGTGGGACCCACAGGAGAAAAGCAAAGAGAAGCAGTAATCTCCAGACCTGCCGACAGTATCCTCTGCTCCTATATATGGTTTTAGGTCTCTTATAACTTAGAATTTGGGAAATCGGATATATTAAGATGTTCATATTAATAGAATTTTAGTTATTTTAAATTTCTATAAGTGGAGACTTATTAAGTTTCCTTAATTTTAGTATTTTTTTAGAAAGTAGATTTTAGAAATTTCTAATAATTAGTGGTTGGTTAAATTTCTTAAACTTGTTAGCAGTTTCTGCTGATTAGGAAATGGTTAACTTTTCTAATTTGTAGGAGCAATGCTCCTTATAAAAACATCAATCTAGAATCTGTTAGACCACTGACTAATGAGGTTTTTAGGTTTCATCCTGGGTGCTGACTTGGATTTTAGGGTTTTTAGAGAAGAGAATGCAGGAGAAGAATAAAGAGAGAACAAAGAAGGATAAGTAGTAGGAAGAATGAGAGAGAAAAGATGTTAGAGAGAATAGGATTCTTAGATTTGTAAAAAATGTTGTACATGGGCGTCCCTTGGGTGCCTATACGTAATGATAATATTACACTTGTTATTTCAAAAAAATAAAAGGGTAGGATTCCAAAATTGTACTCGTTATCTCTCAATCGTGACAGCAGAGTATTTATATTGGTGCCAATCAATGGTACAGTACAGTGATTAACTTAAAGTATGATGACAGCTGGGGTTCCAGCCTGTGCCTGCACCCTATTGGACCCTGGTTAATGGCTAATGTATGAACAAGTAAACAGAAAACAAGGAAAAATTTTCCAGCTAACTTAACTAACTAATTATTTTCCCTTCTCGCACTGATTTTACTCCTGACTTCTCCCCCTTCCTTCAGACAAACCTTATCCTAAGGTTTACACATGGAAGCTGCCCCTTCAAGGATGAAAATCCTCCCATGTAGTTTTTCTTGAACCCATATTTAGCCACTTGACTTGTATTTGCTCAGCTGGTATTCCTTGATGACGCAAGTTCTTTGCTGTAGTATATATTTAGGTTCCAAGTGATATGCCTTTGAGAGTTGATGGATAATTTCCAAGTGAAAGGTGGGTGGATTTTGTAGTCTGGTGGTAAGAATAGCTTGTTGGCGACTGTCCTAAATTTCTTCTCAACCTGGAAAGATTGCAATTCTGGAGCCAGTTTTAACCATCTTCTAACAGCATTTTAGACTGCCTATAGGGTTAGAGCTTTAACAAAATCAAATCTCCTTTCCAGAATGATCTTTCCATTCTTTTGGCATCAGCAAACCACTTCACCCTGTTATGAGCTTCTAGCAATTTCTCTCTTAACAGTCTATTCATCACCTCTCTTTCCTTCATCCAATGTTCTATGGTGTGCGAGGGTGATGTCAAGTCCTTTTTGCTCCATCAACAAGAGTGGAGGGTATCCATAAAAGGGCCTCAAAAGGAGATATCTTCAAGTTAGAGTGGTTGTTGCTATTATACCACTTCTCAGCAAGGTTGAGCCACCATGACCCAGACCTAGGTTTCCTAAAAGTCATGCATCATAGATAACTTTCAAAGCATTGATTGACCCTTTCAGTTTGTCCATTCAGCTAAGTGTAGTAAGTTCTGCTGTGGTGCAACTCAGTCCTCATTAACCTCATTATCTCATGCAAAAAAATACTGTTATCGAGGCATCCCATGCAACTTGTAAATGTTATCTAAGAAAAGCTGGACCCACTTTTTGTGCTATGAAAGGATGTGCTAGAGCTAGTGAAGTGCCCATACTTGCATATATGTCCACTATCATTATGATAGTGTCCCCTTGGCACTTTAACATCAATAGAACTTCACACTTTTATTTCAAAAAAAAAAAATCATTATGATAGTGTCTCTTCCTTTAGATTTCTGCAGTCTTTCTAGGATGTCCACAGTGATGCATGTCCAAGCTTGCTTGTGGATGGTCAAGGGTTGTAACAATCCTGGGTACCAAAGATGCTTCTTTTGCATCTCTAACATATGTCACACTCCCTTATCCATTGATCTGCTTCCTCATTCTTGGCTATTAGAGTTGCTTTAATTTACTGTAGGTTTCCTTAAATTACAAATGCCCTATTAAGGGTAAATCATGACAATGTCGAAGTAAGGTTTCCTTCGATTTTCCTTCCTTTCCTATTACCATCTTCTTTTGTATCTCAGCAAACCTTTGTTGTTTTAACAAGGGGGCCTGGCCGGTAATTCGATGATAAGTTCACTAACCTCATCATCCCTCTGTATGATTGTTGTGCATATTCCATCCTTAAAGGTACCACAGAGGCCATGATCCCTACTAGTTCTCCTTGTCTAGCTCCCTTCCGGATAATGAATGCTATTCCATTTTCCTTCAATTTCATATACTGGATTGTGTAATTCAATCCCAAAATCTTCAGTATTCCCTTTTTTAATCGATGACATGGATCCTTCATTCCAATAGATGCTTGATATTCTGCTGCTCCATTTTAATTATGGAGACAGCTATCTCCAAATAGTGCCTCCATTTGGTCATTGTCATGAGGGTTGGCAGTAACTCGTAGATTAGAGGTTGGTGCTTCAAGCTTAAGGATTTGCTGAGGAGCAATTGGTCCGTCCTGTTGCATCAAGATTACTTTGATTTCCTCACCACATGCATCCACCTCTAGTTCTAAAGGCTTAGAAAGTTCAAGGAGAGTTAGCATTGGGACCTTAGTCATAACCTTCTTAAGTTCTTCAAGTACTATTCTCCTTTTGAGTTCTAGTCAAATGAGTTCTTATTCAAGATGTATGTTAATTAACTTTCTATATTAACTGGTGAGTTGTCGAAATCCTCTTAGTGCCTCTGAGGTTGAGAGCCATGACCAGGTGATCATTGTCTCTATCTTTGAAGGATCAATTTTGTAACCCTTCTGCTGTGATTAGATGGCCTAAGTACTCCATGTAGTCTTGCCCAAGCGATCATTTGGATTCTCTGGCTGTGAGTTGATGTTGTTGTAGGACTTTGAACACAACTTCCAAATGTCCTAAGTGGGTATCCCAATCAAAGTTGTATGCTAATATACTATCAACAGGGACCACTACGAATTTTCTCATTTACAGTTGAAAGATACGGTTCATTAGTGCTTGAAATTTGAACGGGCTGTTGGTGAGGTTGAAGGGCATTACTTTGAAATCGAAGTGTCTGTGGTGGGTTCGAAACGTTGTCTTGTATACGTTTTTGGGCTTAAGCCGAATCCAATTGTAGCCTGGCCTTAAATCTGCCTTTGAATATATTGATGCTCCATGTAGTTCATCCAGCAAGTCATCAATAACAGGTATGAGAAATTTTGTTGGTTGTAATGGCATTTGATTGCTTGTAGTCTACACAAAACCTCTAATTGCCATCTTTCTTCTTAACCAGCAATATTGGTTAAGTAAATGGGATATAGCTAGGCTATATCACCAAAGTATCCAACATCTAGGAGTCTACCCTTCAATCTTGGTCTTCTGGAAGGACTATCTTAAAGTTTAATGTTAACCATATTTTCTGCATTACCCAGTTCAGTCATGAGGTCTTGTCCCACTCAAATCCTTTGACCTTTCGCTACTAAGACTCTCAAGGGTGAAGTTTCAATTAACCTAGCATCATAGCCTTTTTGCAAGTGTGTGCTACCACTGTCAACCAGAATGAGTTTGGAGTTCACTAATCCCCATACCTTCACAGGACAACCTTGTTTTGGCCCTCCATTGCATGCAAGGACATTTCACCTACGTTTCCATCTGCCTCCATTTCTGTGGCTGCTTCATCTTCTTTAGAACCTTCACTGTAATTACCGTCTTCTTTCGCTTCTGAAGTTTCTAGCATCATGATCTGGTTTTACATTGGAGTCCTGGAAAGTACTTGTTTTGTCGATGGCTTCTTGAGTTCCCTAGTTGTGCCATGCTCTGCACCTTTAGCTATTAAAATTCCCACCATAGCTGGTTGAACTACTCACCTTTGACAAATGTTATAGCTAAGTTGCAACCTAGTATATAAAGGGTGAAAATGCTGATTCAAAGATCTCCATTACTCTCTGGATCTGTTAATAAACTTGTAACTAGGTGGCACAAATCTCATTATGGAATCTCTGAGAGTTGCAAGTTTCTCTCAAGGTTTTGGAAGTTTTGATAGTTGCTTTACTGGTTAGTTCAATAGAAGAGTAAATTTTAGGGAGGAGTCTGAGAACTGAGGAAAGGGTCAAAAAGATAGAATTAGATAAGAGAAGGGAGAGGGAGAATGTTTAGTTGGTTGAATAGAAAAGTACATTTTAGAAAGGAGTGTAAGATCTGAGGAAAGGGTCAAAAAGATAGACTTAGAGAAGAGAAGGGAGAGAAAGCATGCTAAATTAGGAAGGGAATTGAGTGACTCCAACACCATTGCAATTGTATTTATGAGCTTAGGACTCAGAAATTATAGATGAGGAAGGTGAAGAATTGGGGGAAGGAAAGTAACATCCAGAGAGGAATTTAGGAATTTTCAATATATTATATTCATTGATCGGTTATCATGATAGTGCAACCTTCCGTTTATGCTCTGTTCGCCCACTAATATAGGCTAAAATATAGGAATGCTGACAAATTTCAACTAATTGACTACTGAAACAAGTTAACAATCATAATAACAAATCATAACACTAATTCCTTGCCTTCTACTTAATAATTAGATTCAGAATAATACAGACAGAAATTTATGTTCTCTCCCGAGACCCAACTTTAATGAGACTATGGTTGGGTAAGTTTATTGTCAGATGCTATAAGTCTGAAAATGAGCTGTTTTTTGTTTCTTTTTCTTATGGTACAAGAGGTCAGTTTTCAATTTCTTTTGAAAGGTAGTTTTGAGATTTCATAGGTGATGAGATACTATTTTTCCTTTGATAATTTTGTCTTAAATCCATAAATCTTGACAATGATAACTAGTGGATGGATGTTTGACATGTTATTAGATTAAGGTCATCTCCTGTTGCCATTAATTCTGACCATTGTTATGGGAGATTAAAGCCATCCACCTGTTATGAATGCCGACCATTGTTGTACTTGGTAATTTCATCACTGTTGGCCCTATAAACTTGATTCATTTGGTATACCAACACATCCATATGCTTAGTGAGAGGCGGTATTTATATGATGAGTATAAGTCAGCATGGTATCCTATTCATTGTTAGTGGTGTATTCACAAATCATTTCTTGAATTTTATGGTCACTTCAGCTTTCCTCCAAATAAGTAGCTTATAATGCTGAACAAAATAAATTATATTTACTTCGCAAATATGAACAGAGTTATGATAGTGTGATGATGAGTTTATACAAGAAAATAAATGCATGAAGAAAATTTTTATTTTTGATAAATTATGTCCTCGTGTTCTTCAGAAGTCTTGGTTGAGTTCCAAGAAATATAATTGTCATCTGACCCACTTTTCAATAGCCCTAGAAATTTCACGTAGGTGTTCTGATTATCAGAAAAATCCAGTTTTTTATGCTTATGAACCTATGGTATGTCCAAATTCTGTGGACCTTTTACATTAAACTAATCCATTTTGTTGGTGTACAGCACCATGTCCTTCTGGCTGGTCTACCAGTCCAAAGAGGAGCAAGTGCTTCCGATATTTTCAGAATTTCCAGTCATGGGATGAGGCAGAAGCCCAATGTAAACACTATGGCGCCCACCTAGCAGCTTTGACATCAGAGGAAGAATTAAACTCTTTCCAGAAGACCTGTGGTGGCCAAAATGTAAATGGTTGTTGGATTGGAGGAAGAGGTAACAGCACGATGGGTTTTCGGTGGAAATGGTCTGATAATGCTTCACACTGGAACCAGTCAATCCAGCCAATCTTTCATGAAGAACCTTCTAACTCCAGTTGTGCCAATATGCCTTGTCATGTTGATATGTGCACATTGCTGACAAACAGTTCTAAATTCCTCATCGGCGAAAGATGCAATGTCTCTCATCCTTTTATTTGCATGATTGGAATTGGTAAGTCCTCAAACAGTCACTGGGTTCTGTCTTCTGTTTTTGTCAGTCTCATGATACAGATTCTCACACCCATATTGATCCCTAGTGGAAAAATATAATGACTAATTTCTTTTACTGGTTTGATGCCATTGTTACATCCTTCTTAGAAAAAAGTTTTGATGGTGTTTTCTCCTTTTCCTCAATACTTGCAGAAAACAAATGTTACCACATGGGCTGCCATAGGGAATATCTTATTATCCTTGCAGTTGTTAGTGGGTTGATCCTTTGTACCACATTTGCTGTTGTCATTTGGCTTCTTGCATACAGGCGGAGTAAAAGGCGTAGAAGATCCCGCAAGCTATCTAATCCAGCATCTTCTGCTCTAGTTCCTCCTTCGTGGAAGATTTTCACCAGTGAGGAACTCAGGTCAATTACAAAAAACTTTAGTGAGGGAAATCGTCTTCTTGGAGATGCCAAAACAGGTGGTACATATAGTGGCCTGCTATCTGATGGATCAAAGGTGGCTGTTAAGAGGTTGAAGAGGTCTAGCTTTCAAAGGAAGAAAGAATTCTATTCTGAAATAGGAAGAGTTGCAAGGCTTCATCATCCAAATTTAGTGGCCATAAAAGGATGCTGCTATGATCATGGTGATCGCTATATTGTTTATGAATTTATAGTGAATGGCCCCTTAGACAGATGGTTACACCACATTCCAAGAGGTGGTAGGAGCTTGGATTGGGCCATGCGAATGAAGATTGCTACAAGTCTGGCTCAAGGAATTGCGTATGTTCATAATCTTTGATAGTGTCTTTATTAAATTCTAACTGCATATTGTCGTTTTTGTTTGTTATCTTTATTATTGGTATTAGTTTTCATTAAAGATCTCTACAACTCCTGTTTGAGACCTGTCCACTTAATATTTAAACAGGTTCTTGCATGACAAGGTGAAGCCACATGTTGTTCATCGGGATATTCGTGCCAGTAACGTGCTGCTTGATGAAGAGTTTGGAGCTCATCTCATGGGAGTTGGTCTTTCTAAGTTTGTGCAATGGGAAGTGATGCAAGAGAGGACAGTGATGGCAGGTGGTACATATGGATACCTTGCTCCTGAGTTTGTATATAGAAACGAGCTGACAACAAAGAGTGATGTATATAGCTTTGGAGTGCTGTTGCTTGAAATTGTAACTGGGCGCAGACCTGCACAGGCAGTTAACAACGTAGGTTGGCAGAGTATATTTGAGTGGGCAACACCTTTGGTGCAGGCACATCGCTACCCAGAACTCTTAGATCCTCTTATATCATCGGACATCCCAGAAGGCAGTGTCATTCAAACAGTGGTAGATCTGGTGTATTCTTGCACACAGAATGTGCCGTCTATGCGTCCTAGAATGTCTCATGTAGTTCATCAACTGCAGCAATTGACCCAGCCACCGGTTTCGAAGTAGCATAGCATACTTTCAGGCGCAAGCTGTTGATATTTCTAATCTGATTGTTAGAAGTGTTTACTGGAAACTTCCCCAGATTTTGCAAAAATGGTGGAGAAAATTAGTTGGAAAAGTGCTGTGGTTCTTGACTGCATGTTATTATTACTAACGTAGCTGCGAAAAGATGTCCTACTTTCTTACTCTTGAAAAGATGTTTAGAGCTAAAAACATGTTTGTCCTACTAGTAAATATATACATTATATCACGGGCGACGGAAGAGGTTGGAGTAGTATGGTGGGATGGTCTGTAGAAAAGTAGGGAATGATGGAACATGACAATCAGATTCATAATATATCTTGGGGGCCTTCAAATGATGATAATCAAAATGAAGAGAGGAAGAAATTAAAATCATCATTAAAGCACAAATCATCTTTTTCTTTAAAATTAGATATTAAAAATTCTTATAAGAATAATATAGAGATATCTGAAAAATTTTTTATCACTTCAACTTCTTCGATCATAACTAAATTAAATTAAAAATAATTTGTTTTTAAAGTCATCATTAAAGCACAAATTAATTTTTTTTCTTTAAAACAAGATATTCTATTTGAGAGTTTTTTTTTTTTTTTTTTTTTATCACTTCTAACTTTTTCAATCATAACGATTGATTTGTCTTATAACAACGATTTAGTCTAATAAATTAAATTAAAATATATAAATTTTGTTTTAATTTTAATTTTCCAAATCAATAGACACAATTATAATTAAGTTCAAACTTAGAACTTAATTATATAATTATTCATCTTGGAAGAGATAGGTTAAATTTTTTCCACAGTTAATTATAACATTAGCGTTGAAGCTCCATCATTAGTTGGTAGACCATAGATATAATTAATTTAATTTTAGATAACTTCTCCAATACAATATAAATTTTTTTCATAAAAGTTATTCATTTTTAACTGAATTATAAATAATTTTTTATTACTTTTATAAAAATGTAAATTTAAATTATAACATATATGTAATTTAAATTATATGTTCACTAGGTAGAGAGTAGTGAGTCAAATAGCATTTTGAAAATTTCACAAAGCATTATAAAAATTATGTCTCATCCATACACAAGGTTATTATTTCAGCATGCAGTCCAAGACGGCAAGACCGATTCAATCAATAATAATAATTGAGGAGCCATGATTTATGAATCACCAACATTTGCAATTGTTTTCCTCGACCGTCCAAACACAAACTTTAAATTAATAATTCAGTAATTTTTTAATGATTTGACATTATTAAATATTTTTTATCTTTAAAAACACATACTCGTGGTGTTAGGCAGTTGTATTTGTAATAGAGATTGAGGAAGTGGGTATAATTGATTATTTGATAGTTGAGTGAGTGGTCTCATGCATTATAGAGGCCTCCTCGTCTTCTATTCTATTAACAAGTGAACAAGAATACTCCAGGAAATGAAGCTTGTTGTACACAAATTAAGTTTGATTATTTGTAAGTTTAATTTCAGATATACATATTATAGTGGGATGTGAGTTGTTTGCATATATTTTTAAAATTCGAATTGTTCATGTAACACCCGAATTCTCATTCAGAGTCTTAATCATATCTCAATATATAACGACTAATAATTTATGAAAATATCTTACGCAGCAAAATTATAAAAGTATAAAAATTATATCCCCTGCATACTTATTTTAAAATATCCAATATTCATTACACGTATTTGAATTCTAAAATAAATATTTATTGTAAAAGAAATGAATAATTTTAAGTATTATTTTGAAATAAAGTAAAATAAAATGAAACAGTATTCTAGTAAATCTCTTACTATTCGAGATCAGGGTTCTGAACATCCTGATCTGAAAAAGATTTAATAATGAATTAGATGAATTACCCTATCTTAGTAAGGGTACAAAAACAAAACAACATAATAGTTTGTCTAAAGAGTTGTAGAAAATAATAAAACAACCGATAGATTACTTATTTTAATAAATCAAGTTCTAGACTTGCACTTTATGCCCCTATTTCCCTTAAATCCCTACCCCTAACTTACAGTTCCCACCATATATTTTCATCCCAATTTTATTCTCAATCACAAATACCATCAAAGTAAATCAGATTCGTGTTCAACCACTTCGTTTCATTCATGAATACCATTAAATTGCATCAAATTCGTATTTAGAACAATTTGCATTCTCAATAATAAATACTATCGAATCATAATGAATTCATATCCAAGTATTATTTAAGAGTTAAAGTCGTTTACCTTTATATTTCATCGTGCAATACTCTTCTTATCGGTATCTTTGCATTTTCAATAATAAATGTTATCGAATCATAATGAATTCATATCCAAATACAACACACTTATCAATCAATCACCTTTTTTCGCTTAGAGTTAAAGTCGTTTAGGTTCATATTTCATCGTGCAATACTCTTTTTACCAATATCTTTGCATTCTCAATAATAAATACTATCGAATCATAATGACTTCATATCCAAATACAACACACTTATCAATCAATCACCTTTTTTTCTCTTAAGAGTTAAAGTCGTTTACCTTTATATTTCATCGTGCAATACTCTTCTTACCAGTATCATTAGTGGTCCATAGGGATTCTCGGTATATGTGAATACTCGAAGTATTTTCATAACAAACCATTGGTCGTTCTCATGCATCAACCTATATAAACGCTATAAACATAAGTTGTCTTGACCCCACAACCTAGGTGAACGCCATAAATATCAGTCGTCCTCACCCCTCAACTTAGGTAAATATTTTAAATATCGACCGTCCCCATACCTCAATCTATATGGACGTCGTAAACATCGATCATTCTCACCCTTCAATTTAGGTGAGTGCCATAAATGTTAGTTGTCCTCACCCCTCAACCTAGGTGAGTGCCATAAATATTGACCCTCCATATACCTCAACCTATATAGGTACCATAAACATCGGTCGTCCTCACCCCTCAACCTAGGTGAGCACCATAACTATTCATTATATCCACAATAGGGTTCACCGCACATAATCATCGATACATTATCCTCACCTTTTCCTACCGGCTCGAATACATTTGTATTGTGTTATTCATT